TTGCCTACGCCTATTGCCTACCACTACGACGAGGACCAGTCCATTACGGTTACCTGCTAGATTGTCCTACCTGGTTACAGTAGTCAAAAACCACTTTGCTACTTTGAACAAATATATCCCTTTCCGGGACATATCAGAATAGAATATGTATTCTTTGGTTTAGATTTGTTTGGTTTATTTTGTTTTACGGCATATCAACTTCAATGGGTTATTTAATGCCGACAACATTTTTAGGATAGATTCGTATGAATATGATGTAATGAATATGCATACACCTGGGTTCCTCATCACAGTAATATGATTGGCTGGTGTCAGTCATAAATACAGACTGATGTTGAGGTACAAGGACGACGCCTATTGTCTTCGCCTATTGCCACTACGACGAGGGCTAGTCCATTACGGTTACCTGCTAGATTGTCCTACCTGGTTACAGTAGTCAACAACCACTTTGCTACTTCGAACAAATATATCCCTTTCCGGGACATATCAGAATAGAATATGTATTGTTTGGTTTAGATTTGTTTGGTTTATTTTGTTTTACGGCCTATTAACCTCAATGTGTTATTTAATGCCGACAACATTTTTAGGATAGATTCGTATGAATATGATGTAATGAATATGCATACACCTGGGTTCCCCCTCACAGTAATATGATTGGCTGGTGTCAGCCATAAATACAGACTGATATGGAGGTACAAGGACGACGCCTATTGTCTCCGCCAATTGCCTACGCCTATTGCCTACCACTACGACGAGGACCAGTCCATTAGATTGTCCTACCTGGTTACAGTAGTCCAAAAACCATTTTACTACTTTGAACAAATATATCCCTTTCCGGGACATATCAATGACAAATTTATTTTAATTTGTACTACGATGAGTACTATTTTGATATATAATCTTTAGTCTTATAGTTCGCTCGACTTCGACCTCCAGTGGGCGGCTTATTATCATGGCCTTGTGTCAGACTTCTTTTTACGCAAAAATGCGGCGATATGAAAATAATTCTTGGATTACAAAAAGAGCTTATCAAAGCTACAAATAGGAAACATAAATAAAAACGGAGAAGAAAATAGAATATAAATTCCGAAAAAAAACAAAAACAACAACAACAAAAAAGAAACCCAAAACGAAATAATGCAAAAAGCCTTATCAGAAGAAAGAAGAAAGATGACGTAAGAAAAACACACACACAAAAAACTGATAACACGAAAAATAAGAAAACAAAAAAAAAACAAAAAAACAAAAAAAAAACAAAGATTAAAACACCCAAAGAACCTGTCTTATTAAGGTGAAAACGAGAAAAATGAAAAATTGTTTTCTTTTTTTTTTCTTAATATGCAATATTTTCTAGCATCGTCGCTTCTTACTCTCCGGAATCAGTCGATGACAGATGGCTATCAGCAGCAAATGGCTTCCGAGTCGTCGATTCCTTAAACAGTTTCAAATATGATCAAAGCAACGTATCACCTGATAAACTAATGCCAAATACTTACCACTTTTTTTTTAACAGGTTCAGCATCTATGTGCAAATCTATCTGCTTGCTAATATATATTTACGTTACATGCACACATGGATACAAAATATGTACACACACTTTAAATATGAGTTTATATGATAATAAAATATAAATAAATATAAGTATCTATCGATCTATACATACATACATACATACATGCACATTTAAACAGTATTGTTTAAATTTTGGTATATTTATGGGAGAAGTGTAATCAGTATCTGGGCTACAAACATTCGTAGATCGTTAATGAATGAAACTATCAGTCCATATGCAGTGTTGATTTTTATGACCTACACTATATATCTATCTATCTATCTATAATCTATCTATCTATCTATCTATTATTTATGTCCATATGATCACATATTCATTATCTATCTATCTATCTATCTATCTATCTATCTATCTATCTATCTATCTATCTCAGTTTGTTCATTATCAGATCTATCTATCTATCTATCTATCTATCTATCTATCTATCTATCTATCTCAGTTTGTTTCATTATCTATCTATCTATCTATCTATCTATCTATCTATATCTATCTATTCATTTTATTCTAATATTATCTAGAATCTATCTATCTATCTATAAACATAATATTATTTATCTATCTATCTATATTATAAAATTTATTTATTATCTTTATTCTAAAAGTTTGTATATATAAAATCTATCTATCTCATAATATCCAATTTCAATCTATTTATCTATCTATCTATCTCAATCTGTTCCATCTATCTATCTATCTATCTATCTATCGCTCATCTTTTCATTGTTCTATTTATCTATCTATCTAAAATATCTATCTGTGTGTGTGTGTGTGTGTGTGTGTGTGTGTGTATATGTGTGCCAGATGAGGGAAGTTGTGGTGGCCATTATCAATGGTCCACCACGACCTATCCAACGATTTGGGAAACATTGATTGTGACAATCGCCAACATTACGAGCAAAATAAGGTGGGACACTGTCCTGTTGGAAGTACCCTGCTCGTCTGATTTGTCGGGGTATTGTTATCAATGGCAAACCCTTGCATCATTTGTAAGTAAGCATTTGTAGTCACCGTTGGAGTTGTAAAGAAATATGTACCAATTACACCTTGTGACTTCTGGTTATGGGGGCATGATAAAAATCACGTTTATAAAAAAAAATTTTAGAACATCGAAGAACTTTATTAGCAGAATAAAACAAAAAATATCAAACATTCCCTGTGAAATGTATCAAGGTATTAATTTGTACTGTTGATTACTGTGCATCAATCGAGCTGGTGGACAGGTGGAGACCGTTCAGTAAACACTGAATAAATGATTGCTCTCATACTAGTGTTAACATAATTGTGACTCATCCTCTCATACTAATGTTAACATAATTGTGACTCATCCTCTCATACTAATGTTAACATAATCACAAAAAGACTCATCCTCTCAACTAATATTAACATAATTGATTATTTATATCATCTCATAACATATTTATTAACATATCCCTTCATATAATGTTAACATAATTTGACTCATACTCTCATACTCTCATTAACATAATTTTCACTCATACTCTCATACTAGTGTTAACATAATTGTGACTCATCCTCTCATACTAATGTTAACATAATTGTGACTCATCCTCTCATACTAATGTTAACATAATTGTGACTCATACTCTCATACTAGTGTTAACATAATTGTGACTCATCCTCTCATACTAGTGTTAACATAATTGTGACTCATACTCTCATACTAGTGTTAACATAATTGTGACTCATCCTCTCATACTAATGTTAACATAATTGTGACTCATACTCTCATACTAGTGTTAACATAATTGTGACTCATCCTCTCATACTAGTGTTAACATAATTGTGACTCATCCTCTCATACTAATGTTAACATTTCAGACTTGTTTCATTGGTTCTCATACTAGTGTTAACATAATTTTGTTTCATCCTCTCATACTAGTGTTAACATAAAAATTTTTTCATCCTCAGTTCATACTAATGTTAACAAATTTTTTGACTCATCCTCTTATACTAGTGTTAACATAATTTTGACTCATCCTCTCATATTAATGTTAACATAATTCTGACTCATCCTCTCATACTAGTGTTAACATAATTTTGACTCAGTCTGCATATCTACATAGTGATATATGCCTTACATGTAAGTAATTATAGGTGATGTGAACAGAGATAGATATAAATAGTGCGAGATAGGCAGATAGATTGTGTGTGTTTAGGGGGTTTTATTCTATTAATTATTCCAAGAAATATCCGTATCTTTGTTGCTTCGAACGCTAAGACTTGGCCAATGCCTTATTCACCCTTCTTTAGACAATGATATTTTGTCTATATAAAATAAATTGCTTTTTATTTTTCCATGGTGTATTCTTGGTGTAATGGACAACGGCTGGAAATGGGGAAACTGGAGAGCCGAGTTCGAATTCCAGTCGATTTACGCGCAAATGACCTTAGAGTAGATATAAATCTATCTCTCTGCCCTTGGATATGGGTTAAATAACAGGACTTGTATCCGTTACATCTGATTGCTGAAAAAAAAATTGTTAATGCGATATTTACTCGCAAAACGTATGAAATATTCTTACAATCCAAAATATGTTTCGGGTTTAAATAAACAACAAAGGGTTGATAAGCTGTAAAAAAAAGAAAAGAAAAATAAATAAAAAGAAGGAAGGGTTGATAAGCTGTAAAAAAAAAAAAAAAAAATAAGCACTATTTTTTCCACTACGTTGTGGCTCGTGTATTCTTTGATCAAATATAAAACCACCAAGAAGAGACAATACAGCTGATAAATTGAAACAGGAAGAAGACCGTAGAAGAAATCGTCCGAAATGTAATGACATTTCTAGAAAACTCTGGAAAGAATGTCAATTTTAATAAATACAAATAATTTCGTCGATTAACATTTTATTCTACTTTGTTTTTGTTTTTTGTTTTTGTTTTTTTTTTTTTTTTTTTTTTTTTTTTTGTTTTTTTCGTTTTTGTTTTTTTTTGTTTTTGTTTTTGAAAAGTGATATTCAATCGTGCGGTGGACGAATTTTGGCCCGTCTTCCCTTTTGCTGATGAGCGTGAAAATTTACGCGCAGAAAGGTTTTGCAAGAAAAAAAAAAAGGTTAGAAATTTACGCGATTTTTTAGCTTTTTAAAAAAAAAAAAAACATGGCGGAAATATTTTCTTACTTCGAAGAACGTCTTGGCTGATAGCGTTTCAAATCCTTTTGTACAAGATGAAATGGTACGGATGACTTTCTTGCTAAGAATTCTCCTATTCTTGTGATCTTCAATGGAAAGTCTCAGAGTCTAGATATACGTCGCTGTACCCAACTCGATGTCAATAGTGCGAATCATGTCGTAATTTTGGGAAGTGACTCCCTTTGGGGTAATTTTTGGCTTTCTCTTCTTCTCTCAATGATTTTACACTTCGTTTATAATGGTCATGCTTCTCATGATTTTGTCTGCGATTGTAATTATGCTCTCCGCTATTATCCCGTTCTTAAATCACCCCACCAACATGACACAAACTTTCCTCTTTCTCATTTTTTACCTCTTCCCCCCCCTTTCATTCGTCCATTCAACAAGTCGTTTCCTCCTATCTCCAAGATATTTCCTACCATTTACCCAGTTCTCTCCCTTTCTCTCTCTCGCTCTTTACCTTTGTTCTGATATTTTTTTCTTCTTTTCTTGCTTTCTTTTCTTTCTTTCTTTCTTTTCTTTCTTTCTTTCTTTCTTTCTTTCTTATTTATTTCCTTTCTTTCTTTTTTTCTTTTTTTTTCTAAATTTATTCCCTTTCTTTCTTTCTTTCTTTTCTTTCTTTCTTTTCTTTCTTAAATTATTTTCTATTTTCTTTTCTTTCTTTCTTTCTTTCTTTCTTTCTTTCTTTCTTTCTTCTTTCTTTTTTTTTTTCTTTTTCTTTCTTTCTTTCTTTCTTTCTTTGAGGAATTTTTTTTCTTTCTTTCTTTCTATTTATTTTTTTTTTCTTTTTTTCTTTCTTTCCTTTCTTTCTTTCTTTCTTTTTTCTTTCTTTCTTTCTTTTTATTTCTTTCTTTCTTTCTTTCTTTCTTTCTTTCTTTCTATTTATTTTTCTTTCTTTCTTTCTTTCTTTTCTTTCTTTTTTTTTTCTTTCTTTCTTTATTTTCTTTCTTTCTTTCTTTCTTTCTTTCTTTTTTTCTTTCTTTTTCTTTTTCTTTCTTTCTTTCTTTCTTTCTTTTCTTTTTTCTTTTTCTTTCTTTCTTTCTTTTCATTTTTTTCTTTTTCATCAATTTTCTTCTCTTATGAACTGCTTCCTTTATTTGCTCATTCAGTCTTCATGACTCTTCTTTTGTTCTCCTCTCCTACAGTTTTTTTTCATTTTACTTTCTTGTTAAGCCATTCCTTCTACTTTGCAGCACACCCACAGTTATCTCTCTTATTCATTAAATCTCAGACTTTGTCATGAAAAAAAAAAGAAAAAAAAAGATTTAAAATGAAACGATTGAGGCGAAGAAAGAAACAACGAATACACAAATAAAATGAAAGAACGTGTAAAGGAACCTAAGAAGATTTTGTATGAAAAGATTTTAGTGAAAAAAAAACGCGACAAATTAACTGAATAAGGAAGAGGAAAATATGGAGACGAAAAAGAAAGAAAGAAAGAAAGAAAATGAATGGACGAAAAAAGTAAGAAGAGAAATGATTAATTGTATGCTTAAATATGTAAAGAAAGAGGAAAAGATGCAGAAAAATGACGAAGGGAGGAAGGAAGGAAGGAAGGAAGGAAGGAAGGAAGGAAGAAGGAAGGAAAAAAGGAAGAAGGAAAAGAAGGAAGGAAAGAAAAGGAGGAAGGAAAGAAAGGAAGAAAGGAAGAAAAGAAGGAAGGAAGGAAGGAAAGAAAAAAGAAGGAAGGAAAGAGAAAGGAAGGAAAGAAGGAGAAGGAAGGAAGGAAGGAAGGAAGGAAGGAAGGAAGGAAGAATTAGGGAGAAGGAAGGATGGAGGAAGGAAGGAAGGAAATAAAGAATGAAGAAAGGAATGAAGGAAAGAAAAAAAATTAGGATCGAAAAAAGGAAACAGATAAAGGAAGGAAGGAAGGAAGGAAGGAAGGAAGGAAGGAAGGAAGGAGGGGAGAAGGAAGGAGGGGAGAAGGAAGGAAAGAAATGATGGAAGGAAGGAAGGAAGGAAATAAAGAAAGAAAGAAAGAAAGAAAGAAAGAAGGATCGAAAAAAAGGAAAGAATTAAGAAAGAAAGAAAGAAAGAAAGAAAGAAAGAAGGAAAGAAAAAAAAGGAAAGAAATAAGGAAGGAAGGAAGAAAGGAAAGAAAGAGGAAAGGAAGGGAGGAAGGAAGGGAGGAAGGAAAGAAATAAGGAATAAAGAAAAAGGATGGAAGTAAAGAAGAAAAGAAAAGAGAAAGAAGGAAGAAAGCAAAGAAAGAAAGAAAGAAAGAAAGAAAGAAAGAAAGAAGGAAGAGTGGAAGGAGGGGAAGAAGGAAGGAAGGAAGGAGGGGGAAGGAAGGAAATAAATGAAGGAAGAATGCAAAGAAGGAAGGACGGAATGAAAGAAAGAAGAAAAGGAAGGAAGGAAGGAAGGAAAACGATCAAAATTTCGTCTGTATCATTGTTCAGTGTATATGAATCTCGCTAACCAATCTCGATATACGAACGCATCTACTCTACCAGAATTTTCTAATTCTCTACCGTCGTGTCATATCATTTCGTGTCGCAGTCAGGAAGAGGGAAATAAAATTGCCAATATTAGAAAGAGGTTTCTACACAACTGCCGATTGTGTTTGCCTTTGTCAAGAAATGACATTTAACTGACGTCAATACTGCGTGATGGTCGTTGTTTTCACGTAATCCACAAACTGAGTCATCGTTAGGCAAACACTCGAAACTAGAGCCGAGTTTTCAAGATAATCAGGACTTGTTACCTTTGTTGTTTTTGCTGTTATAGAAAAAAAAAATTGTCATCTTGCTTCTCGGCTTCGCTTGGATTTCTTCGTTTATTTTTGTCTCTTGTTATTATTCTTGCATTTTGACGTCGTTTATTTGATAGAGAATCTTCAGCCCAAAAGACGCCATTGGTGTTTTTGGAAATAATTGTCCTTCGCAGTTTCTTCTCGCGTTGTTCTTCATCCATAATCAGGCACAAGAGTCAAATGCGCCTTCCACCCCGCCAGCCAATTAGGCGCATGGAAAGATAAGCACAAAAACACGTGAACAAAGAGACGAATAAACGAACGGATAAGAGTCATTTCCTAATAGGCTGACCTCCTATAATAGGGAATACAAACACGTACCTATAACTTACAGAAACAAAAGAAACGTACACACACACACAAAAAAATCTATTTGAGGACACATACACACACACATATTGTGAAATGAACAATATTACAGACGTAAATAATATAGCCTCTTTTATTAATTCTAACATCTATAATTATATCAAAACACGGCGAAAACTAAGCAAGTGTACATCTCATTCTCTCTCTCTATATATATATATATAGAGAGAGAGATATATATATATACATACATATATACATACATCTATAATTTTATCTTTATATTATTCTAACATCTATAATTATATCAAAACACGGCGAAAACTAAGCAAGTATACATCTCCCCTCTCTCTCTCTCTCTCTCTCTATCTATCTATCTATCTATCTATATATATATATATATATATATATATATATATATATATATATATATAAAATATATATACATAAACATATATATATATATATATATATATATATATATATATATATACATACAATATATATAATCTTGTTTTCGTTTTTCTGTTGATTTCTAACGAAGCGAAATCAATTATCGATTTCATGAAATAAAATATTTCCATAGCTTTCTGAAGTTTCCGATTTGTTAATTTATATATATATTAATTATATATATATATATATATATATATATATATATGTGTGTGTGTGTGTGTGTGTGTGTAAATTATATACACATATATATATACATATACATACATATATTTATATACATATATGTATATATATATATATATATATATATATATAAATATATATATATATATATATATATATATATATATATATATATACATATAAATACATACATATATATATATATATATATATATATATATATATATATACATATATATATATATATATATATATACATATATATACATACATATATATATACACACACACACACACACACACACACACACACACACACATATATAGGCATATATATATATATATATATATACCCAAATTTTAAAAAAAAAGTTCGCTCGGTTTATCGGTTTTATTTCGTAAATATAAAACTTTTTTTTTCATTTTTGATTCTTTCCTCCCAAAGGTTTTTATCTTTCTTGACAAAGAATTAAGCTCTAGGTGCCTTTTGCAATCTTCCAAAGAATTGAATTTTTTTTTTCATTAAGATATAGGTAAAGAATGCAATAAATGGTAAACCAAAGTTAGCAAATATCTGGCGAATCTGGCAAAGGAGTAAAATATTGACAGATAAAATGAAAAAAAAATGTTTTTCTGGTCACCACCGAACCTCCCAAAAAAACAAAAAAAAAAACATATATATATATATATAAGAAATTCGATCTCGAGCGTTGTCCTGATGGAATATTTTGCGTTTTCTTTTAACTAATTACGTCGATTGCTTGCCTTCATTTTTGGTCTAATTGTTCGAATCAATTATTTGCTTCTCCAAAAGAACTTTTTCGTAGAAGTCCTTCCTACCGTTGCACAAAGCATCCGCTTTTCGTACAGTGGCCGGGATCAGTTTGTTTTGTTGCCTAATCTCTTGAGTTCTACGTTCATGTAAAGAATATTAGATTGTCACGCATGAAATGACGCTCTTTATAGGATATGAAATATATATATATATATATTATAATATTATTTTGTTTAAAAATATGATTCCTTCGCTACATAAGAGTTCTCATGTTTCAAAAACGAGAGCCGAAGCCATCCAAATAATTATTAAAATTAAGTTGAATTGAGCTGTTTAGTCCCGTTTCATCTTCAAGCGAAATTTTAGGAATAAGCTATCTCTTGGTTTACGTGTGTTTTTAAGCATGGTTCGTTATAACATTCGTTATTGTGGGAGTGGCTAGGCGTTAAGTGGTCAGAGAGTTAATTCTTATCTATAGATTCATCATCTTCTGAGAGGTTTTGCTCAGGTTGGGTAGGGTGTTTTATATTCAAACCGTATTTCACTGAATTTCAATTTGTTTTTTGACGACTACAGAAAGGGTTTTTCCTATTTAATGATTTAGCTAAGCTTTTAAGACTTTTATTAAACTATGGGATTTTTTTTAATACTAATTATTTAATGCGAAATATATATATATATATATATATATATATATATATATATATATATATATATATATGTTTCTGAAATGTTGAATACCTAATTTATTTAGTTGAAATAGGCACCATATTAATGAATGACTGTTCTCCAACGTGCCTCTAAATTCTTGATCTGATCTTTAAAAATAATCTCTTCCTTTGATGTGATGAACAGTTCAAATGTTTCGATTTTTCTTCCTTGTTAAAGAGTGTTTTATATTGCGTATGAAAAGCTCAAAATACTTAAATAAGTGATAATCAGTAGGAGAGATATCAGGTAAATATGGAGGATGAGGCAAAATTTCCTAATTCAGGCCCTGCAGCTTTTTGGACAGTTGATTGAGAAGCATGCGACCGGGTGTTGTTCTGTAGCAGAATTGGGCTAGTTCACAAATCTGGGATATTTCTTTTTCAGTTTTTCGTGCATACACTAAATTTCTCCACAATACGATGCTGCCGTTATTGTTTTCCCTTGAGACAAGAATGAATAATGTATAACCCCTTTGAAAGACCACCATTAACTTTTTAGGATGCAGTGGAAGTTCGGGGTATTGTTTAGGTGACTCGCTTGCATCTAACCCATGTCATACTCTCTTACTGTTGTAAAAGAGTATCCATTTCTCATCGCATGTAATGATTCGGTGCAAAAATGGCTCTTTTTCCAGTCGAGAAAGCACGCAGTAAGACTACTCGACATTGTTTCATTGTAATCATTTTAATTCGGTTTATGAATAAGAATATATTGAAAGAAAAAAATTAGAAAGAAAAAAGAATCAGGAATAAGTTAAGATTTTTTTTTATATACTAAGGAGTTTACTTCATTAGACGACCGGATCAACAACCAACAACAAAATGAGTCATTTCATGTGTGACAATCTCATGTTATTTTCTTTGCCCGTCATAATTCAAATGGTGTTCTTTCACTAAACTGAAGTGGGATTCAAAGCCACTCATAATTTTCAGCCCTTGATTTGGATGCCTTCACTATGTTTTCTAACGCCTTTCTCACTGTTTAACGAATATGAAAAAGTCAAAAATAAATTGATTTGCTATTAAACTTACCTGTGCTAATCAACCGTTTATCA